GGGTCAGGAGCCCGGACACCTGGGTCCCCTCTTCAAAATACAGGCCTTCAATGCATTAGAGGGGTCAGGATCCCAGATGCCTGGGTCCCCTCTTCAAAATACAGGCCTTTGGTGCATTGTGGGGATCGGGAGCGCGGACGCCTGGGTCCCCTCTTCAAAATACGGGCGTTCGGTGCGTTGTGGGGATCGGGAGCGCGGACGCCTGGGTCCCCTCTTCAAAATCCGGGCGTTCGTTGCGTTGTGGGGATCGGGAGCGCGGACGCCTGGGTCCCCTCTTCAAAATCCGGGCGTTCGTTGCGTTGTGGGGATCGGGAGCGCGGACGCCTGGGTCCCCTCTTCAAAATCCGGGCGTTCGTTGCGTTGTGGGGATCGGGAGCGCGGACGCCTGGGTCCCCTCTTCAAAATCCGGGCGTTCGTTGCGTTGTGGGGATCGGGAGCGCGGACGCCTGGGTCCCCTCTTCAAAATCCGGGCGTTCGTTGCGTTGTGGGGATCGGGAGCGCGGACGCCTGGGTCCCCTCTTCAAAATCCGGGCGTTCGTTGCGTTGTGGGGATCGGGAGCGCGGACGCCTGGGTCCCCTCTTCAAAATCCGGGCGTTCGTTGCGTTGTGGGGATCGGGAGCGCGGACGCCTGGGTCCCCTCTTCAAAATACAGGCCTTTGGTGCATTGTGGGGATCATGAGCCCGGACGCCTGTGTCCCCCGCTTCTCACCCCTCTCTCTCCCCGCCGGCCTCCAGTACGTGGCCTTCGCCTCCCTCTTCTTCATCCTCATCTCCATCACCACCTTCTGCCTGGAGACGCACGAGGCCTTCAACCGGGTGATCAACAAGACGGAGACGGTGACGACGGGCAACGGGACGGGGACGCAGGTGGCGGTGGAGGTGGAGACCGAGCCCTTCCTCACCTACGTGGAGGGCACCTGCGTGGTCTGGTTCACCTTCGAATTCCTGATGCGGGTCAGTTTTTGCCCGGATAAACGGGATTTCGTGAAAAGCAGCTTGAACATCATCGATTTCGTGGCCATCTTGCCCTTCTACCTGGAGGTAGGCTTGCGGGGTCTCAGCTCCAAAGCGGCCAAAGACGTTTTGGGTTTCCTGCGGGTCGTTCGTTTCGTCCGCATCCTTCGGATTTTCAAATTAACCCGGCATTTCGTGGGTTTGCGGGTGTTGGGGCACACCTTACGGGCCAGCACCAACGAATTCCTGCTCCTGGGTATCTTCTTGGCGCTGGGGGTGCTGATTTTCGCCACCATGATTTATTACGCCGAGCGGATCGGCG